CGTGCTCTTGCTAGGGATGGCTCTCACCTCCAGCCACTTGCTCACATGTTCCACCATGAACACTATGTACTGATTCCCGCTCCTGCTCAGCGGCAGTTCTCCTGCAAGGTCTAGGGACCATCGGAACCCCAGCCCGCAGATTGGTAGTGAGTGCAGCTCTGCTTTGGCCTGTGTCAAGTTTGCTTTGCTCCTCTGACATGCCTCGCACCCCTCGACCCACTCCTTCACCTGCCTGCGCATCCCTTCCCACCACCAGCCCGTCTTCAGCAGCTGCACGGTCCTCTTATGCCCGAAGTGTCCCAGCTTAGTGTGCACTTCCTTGATCACTGCTTCACGGTCCTTAGGCGCTGGCACCAGCTTCCAGCCATCCTCCGTCTTGATCTGCAGCTGCTGCTGATACCACCTGTAGTGGTGCCCTCGTGCCCTCACCCTCTCTGATATCGTCTCGTCTTCTTCGGTTTCTCCCTTCACCCATTCCATTGCCTTTGCATCCTGCCAGATGTCAGCTGGCCCCAGATTCCCTTTTGCACCGACCTGCTCCACCTCTCGTGCCAGCAAGATCAAGGTTTGCGCTGGCTCCGGCTCTGTCTCCTCCATCCCCGGTATTATCTGTCCCGTTTCCAGCGGCGGTGGGTTGCGAGAGAGACCATCGACGTGCTGCAGCGTCTTCCCCGGCCTGTGCCTAATCTTAAAATCATATTCCTGCAACTTCACTGCCCACCTCGCGTTCCTCCCTGTCAGCCCTGGTGTGGTCATCAGCCATGTGAGGGGCTGATGATCAGTGACTAGGGTGAATTCTCGGCCCTGCAGGTATACCCGGAAATGCCCGACCGCCCACACTGCCGCCAGCCCCTCCCCGATGTATGAGCTGTACTGGGCTTCCGCTGGGTTGCAGCTCCTGCTGGCGTAGGCCACCACCTTCTCCACTCCCTCCACCTCCTGGCACAGTATTGCCCCCATCCCTTGGCTGCTCCAGTCGGTGTACAAGATGAAGGGCTGGTCTGCTGCTGGCAGCCGCAGTACTGTCGCTGTCTTTACGGCTGTCATGAGGTCTTGCAGCGCTTCTCTCTGCTTCTCTCCCCACTCCCATGCCTTGTCTTCGCGCAGCATCCCATTCAGCACCGTCGCTCGCTTACTGAAGTTCGGCACGAAGCGCCTGTAGTAGCTGAGGAAGCCCAAGACCGCACGCAGTCCTGATTTGTCTCGTGGTTCCCTTAGCCTGTCCAGCACTTGCACCTTTGCTTGCTGGATCCCAATCTGCCCCCCTGTGACCTCGTACCCCAGATACTGCACTGTCCGCTCCCCCCACTTGCATTTGTTCGGATGGCAAGTGAGCCCTGCCCCTTCTATGGCCGTTAGTGTCTTCTCCACATCCTCCAGGTGCTGCTGCTCGGTCAAGCTGAAGATCACGACATCATCGATATAGCACGCCGCGTGTTCTATTCCCCGCAGCACCGCGTCCATAACTCTCTTGAACACTGCCGAGGCGTTCCTCAGACCGAAGGGCATATACAGCCACTCGTACAGCCCATCCGGCCCGTGGAAGGCCGTTTTCTTCACGTCCTCCTCTCTGATCTTGATTTGATTGAACCCCTCTCGCAGGTCCAGCGTTGTGAAGAACACCCCGTCAGCCAACTTGTCAAAGAGCTCTTCTGCCATCGGCATGGGGTATCTATCTGGCACTGTGATTTTGTTAAGATCCCTGTAATCCCCGCACATCCTTCTGCTCAGCACCTCGCCTGTCAAGTCCTTTCGGGCTGCCACCACGGTCGGGGTGGCGTACTCGGACTCCGACCTCCTAATCACTCCGGCTTCCAGCAACTCCTTTATCTTTTCCCTGCAGATCGCCTCATCTCCTGGTGGCATCTTCCTCCTGCGGTGGTACACCGGCTCGTCACTATTCAGCTTCAACGCCATCTCCTTGATCTTGCACTTCCCCAACTCCCGCAGGGTGAAGGCAAAGCCCTTCCTGTGCTTGGCCAGTAGTGCCCGCATTGCTGCCCTCCCTTCTTCGCTCATGCTCTCACCTATCATCCACTCTGGCTCCTGTTTCTGCTGGCAGGTCCACGCCCCTTGCCTAACTGTCAGCACTGTGTTTTCTCCCTCTTTCAGTCCCCAGTGCAGCACTGTCACTCTCCACATCCGCTGCACCAACCACCTCAGCATGTACCCATCCATTGCATTCCCCATTGCCCGCCTCCGTTCCTGTTCACTCACGCCAGGTGCTGCGGTCGCGTTCTCCTTGTACCCCATGGCAAGCTCCCTCTCCAAGGCCGTGGGCTCCTCCCACCGTCCCTTCCTGTGGTCGAGCACCAATCCTGGGCCTGGCTGCTTCCCGTCCATCCGATATCCTGCTGCCCCCTCATAAGATACCAGCGTAGGTAGTGCTTGCCTCTCCTGCCCCACCTGGTTGCATGGATAGTGTCTACTGTAGCTCCTCTTACTCACTGGTGCTGGTGTTCTTCCTGGCTCCAGTATGTCGCTCAACTTCCGCCCCCCTGCTCTCTGCACCCCTTCTATCTCCTTCTGCAGTTCTTCCACTGGCACTACATTCTGCCAGTACATCCTGAGCCGGTGCGCGTATGCTCCCATCCGCGCCGCGTCACTACTCACCCCCTTACCCACCTGCTTGGTTACTCTCTCCTTGACCAGTCTCACTGGTTCTCTTACATCCCCTTCCAGGTCCAAGTGCTCTAGCAGGTAAGCCAGTCTGCCCTGCCTTGCCTGCACCCATTCCATGATTCTGAACAGATCCTCCATCAGTTGGGTCCTTGGGTCTTGTTCACCCTTGCCCTTCCCTGCCCATGATACCCCTTGGCATTCCCACCTGGCCACCAACAGGTCCACGTGCCCCCAGCTTGCCACCTCAGCTTCCGTAATGGCCCTTACGTCATGCACTCCTCTGCCCATTGCTGCCTTGATCACCTCTCCCTTCAACAGTTCCGGGAACTCCCTGTGCAACTCCCACGCATGCCGCTCCGCCATTTTTCTCACTTCTGCTGCCTTCTCCACGTAAATCCACTCCTTCACTGCAATCCCATTCCGCACCACTGCTGCCAGTCCCGCCCCTATTCCTCCGAACAGTTCCACTAGCCGGATGGGTTGCTGCCAATCGGTCTGTTGGCTAGGCTCGTCCATGAAGCGCATCCTGGGCTCTCTACCCTGTTCCTTGCCTGTCGTGCTCTCCTGTGCCCCTTGTTTTGCTGTCACCTCCTTCAGATCTGCCCTGTAAGCCCTTTTTGGCTCCACCCTGACAAACTGCACAGGCAGCTGTCCTAGTGGCTCACCCTTCCTCCACCACCTGGTCCTGAACTCCATTGTCTCCTTCCAAAAGCAGATGGTCATGCCCAATGCAAAAATCATTTCTGTGCCCACCAGGCCGTCAAAATCTTCAGATTCTGAGATCCCGCACCTGATCCTAACCGGCGTTTCGTGTTTCTCCCCCTTTAGCACCGTCAGTTCTATTGGAGTCCTTGTACATGGCATCCACTTTGATTCTCCTCCCTCTGCCGTCATCACCAGCATCCCCTTCACCACATGCCTGTCCGGTGCCCACAGTCCCAGCTTCTCGGCCATCCCCTTCCCTAGTATCACGCTCTGCGCGCCAGTATCTATAATAGCCGTCTTGGCCTTCTCTCCTTCAACAGACAACGCGCCACCTTGGATCAACAGCACGGAAGTCTGGCAAGCCAACCTCTCCTGGGGGTGCCGTGCTGCTGTACATCTCTCTTCCTTCTCTTCCGGTTTCTGTCCCCTCTCCCTTTCCTTTCTCACCTGCTCCTTCCGTGCATCCTTTCCTCCACTGCGCAGCCCCATCTCCTCCCTTCCTCTCCATGCCATATAGGCTGGCTGCTCCTCGTGTTCCATCTCGTCCTCTGCTCTTCCTGCCCAGCTCATGAACGCGGCTTCCTCATCCTGCTCTACATCTTCTTCTTTTTCTTCCTTCGCGTACATCCCCGCTTCTGCTTCGCGTCGTGGTCCCATTGCCTGCAACTGGGCTTGTAACCTGCTAATCTGCCTTTCCAGGTCTTCTGGCGTCTTTTTCGCTGCTCCCTCTCATTGGTAACATTCTTTCGCTGCATGCCCTCCCTTCCCACAGATTTCACACTTTGGCGCTGTTGGGCACTCCCGTCGCCAATGCCCTGGTTTGCCACAGGAGTCACAGTTCTTGCAGTCTCTGCGTAAGTGTCCCGGCTGCCCGCACCTATGGCACGTCCGAGTGTCAGGCCTGGTCTCCCCTCTTCCTGCAGCCCTGTCCCTCTCTTCCGGTATCATGGCTGCCGCCCACGTAGGCCCCCTGCCTCGTTCTGCTGCTCGAGGCCTGTATGCCTCATACTTCCTCTGTGCCAGTTCCATCTTCTCTGCCATTTCAAACACCTCCTCTAGTGTGGCGTCAGCCCCCATCTCGTACACTTTCATCCGCAGCCCGCTCCCTAAAGTGCCCTCCAGCCCGTCCAGGAACTTGCTCACGAGCAGGCCCATGTCTGCGCAACTCACATCCTCCGCCAGGTTGACCAGCCGGTTGTAGTAGGTGAGTAGTGACTCGCCCCGCCCCTTCCTGAAATCTTGGAACTCCCTAATCTTCTCTGCACTATGGCCTGGGAACTGCCGCTTCAGCCGCCTCAGGAATTCTTTCGTTGGGTCCTCCCCATACCTACCTGCCCTCTCCAGTAGCTCATCCACCTTCATCCTATACAGTGTCTCTGCCTCCCCTTCCAGCGTGTTTGGCAGACTCAGAAAGAAGTCTACTGCGTCCATGCCGCTCCTCTCGCATCTGTACCGCACATTGCCCACTTGCATCAGATAATTCTTCAGTGTGGGCCCCAAACGCTGGTCCCCTGAGAAGCGTGCTGGCACTTCCACTCTCGTGACCATCGCCGTGTTTCCCCTTCCTTCTCCCCAGGCCTCACTCGGCCCGCCTGCTGATCTGCCAGATGCTCCCCTCTCTCTCGCCCGCAGTATCCCCTCCCTTGCCTCTCTGGCTTGCTCCAGGCTGTGCATCAGCCCGCTGCCTCCCACTCTGCTGCCGCGTTGATCCTGTCCTCCTTCACCGGCACGTCTTTCGTCACGCTGCCGATACCGCCCAGGCGAGCGAGACCCAGCGCCCTGCCTTCCATCCCTGCTCCGCTGCCGCGACGGCGAGCGGTATCTGCCTCCCTGGCTTTCCTCGTGTCGCTGACGCCAATCTGGCGAGCGCGCCTCACCTCCCCACCTCCCTCCATGGTACCATCGCGTGTCAGGCGAGCGATAGCCACCTTCGCGTCTCCCATCACGATAGTGATGCGGATCTGGTGAGCGCGAGCCCCCCTTGCTCCTCCCGCCGTGATACCTCTGCGGATCTGGCGAGTGCGCACTGCCTCCGCGTTCTCCGTCACGGCGCTGTCGCGGATCTGGCGAGCGGTAACTGCTTCCGCGCCTCTCCTCATGCAGCGACCGCGGATCAGGCGAGCGGTAGCCGCCTTCGCGCCTCTCGTCATGCTGCGGCCGCGGATCTGGCGAGCGCGCGCCGCCAGCGTGCCCCCCATCGCGATGCTGTCGCTGGCCTGATGCGAGCGCGCCGTCGCCGCGCCCCACGTCACGGTGCTGCCGCAGATCGGGCACGCGCCCCTCGCCTCCGCGTTTCTCGTCACGGTGCTGACGCGGATTCGGTGAGCGCGGGCCACTGCTACGCCTCCCGCCGTCGTTCTTCTCTTCGCCACGCGGCTGGTTCCACGCACCATTCGTCCCGTCCGGTTTCGCCGCGCTTGGCTCCGCCGCCGCGCCCGCCTGCGTCGAATCGGCCTCCTTGACTCCAGCGGGCATTTCGCGCTGCTCGCCTGCGCCTTCTTCCTGGGCTTCGTCATCGCCCTTCGCCTCGCCTTCGCGATTCGTTTCCTGCGCCTTATTCGCCGTGTCGGCCTCGTCCTCTCCGTCAACATCGAGGTCTCCCTGCCGACCAGAGAAAAATTCCTCCAGGCCACGCCCGCGACTCCGATCTTCGCGACGGCGGTAACCCTCTTCCGGCGAGCGATACGCTCCCGTGTCCTGGCGATGCCCATGATCGCCACCAGCTCCGTGTCGTGCATCCGTCCGCCACGGGTCACTTCCCATCCCGACGGACTCGAATCCGCCTCTTCCTTCTCGCTCTGCACCTTCTCCTCGGCGATCTGGCGCGAGAGGGACCAGATCTGCGCGAAAGGCCGGCCTCCGTGGCGAGCGCTCAGGCCTCCGCGGTGACCTCTCCAACGACCGCCCGCGCTCACGTGAGCGTTCGCGCCGTGAGCGATCATCCTCACGGCGACCGTAGTTCCTGCCATAACGCAGTTCGTACACATCCATGCTTGCACACGCACCTTTCCGGTTGCTATAAAAGTTATGTAACTCTCACCTCAAAGGTCCTCCCTGGGTGGTGTGCCACCTGTCTGCACAGCTGAGGCAACAATAGTCCACTATACGGAAGGATAGCAACCGGAAAGCATCAGGGCTGTGTGAGCGAGTGACTTTACCTGGCCTGGGCTCGAACCGTGCATTTCTCAATGTGCGGCTCGAGCCTCGGTTGGTTCAATCACATTGGTCGCGTGGATTTCACCCTTGGTGCTCTCCTACCAACCTCGCGTCAACTTCTCTGGTTCCCCAACTACCTACCTTCGAATATTCATACACATCATTACTACACCCGAACCACACCAGAACTACACCTCAATCTAACTGGCACCTTATATGCACAGCCGTGCATATTCGGTGACAAGGGGAATGAGGGTAGGGGTCAGGGGGTATGGCAGGGGAATGAGGGTAGGGGTAAGGGGGAATGGCAAGGGAATGAGGGTAGGGGTCAGGGGGAATGGCAGGGGAATGGGGGTTGGGGTAAGGGGGAATGGCAGGGGAATGAGGGTAGGGGTAAGGGGGAATGGCAGGGGAATGAGGGTAGGGGTAAGGGGGAATGGCAGGGGAATGAGGGTAGGGGTCAGGGGGAATGGCAGGGGAATGAGGGTAGGGGTAAGGGGGAATGGCAGGGGAATGAGGGTAGGGGTCAGGGGGAATGGCAGGGGAATGGGGGTTGGGGTAAGGGGGAATGGCAGGGGAATGAGGGTAGGGGTAAGGGGGAATGGCAGGGGAATGGGGGTAGGGGTAAGGGGGAATGGCAGGGGAATGAGGGTAGGGGTAAGGGGGAATGGCAGGGGAATGAGGGTAGGGGTCAGGGGGAATGGCAGGGGAATGAGGGTAGGGGGAATGGCGGGGGAATGAGGGTAGGGGTAAGGGGGAATGGCAGGGGAATGAGGGTAGGGGTCAGGGGGAATGGCAGGGGAATGAGGGTAGGGGTCAGGGGGAATGGCAGGGGAATGAGGGTAGGGGTAAGGGGGAATGGCAGGGGAATGAGGGTAGGGGTAAGGGGGAATGGCAGGGGAATGGGGGTAGGGGTAAGGGGGAATGGCAGGGGAATGAGGGTTGGGGTAAGGGGGAATGGCAGGGGAATGTGGGTAGGGGTAAGGGGGAATGGATGGGGAATGGGGGTAGGGGTAAGGGGGAATGGCAGGGGAATGAGGGTAGGGGTAAGGGGGAATGGCAGGGGAATGAGGGTAGGGGTCAGGGGGAATGGCAGGGGAATGGGGGTAGGGGTAAGGGGGAATGGCAGGGGAATGAGGGTAGGGGTCAGGGGGAATGGCAGGGGAATGAGGGTAGGGGTAAGGGGGAATGGCAGGGGAATGAGGGTAGGGGTAAGGGGGAATGGCAGGGGAATGGGGGTAGGGGTAAGGGGGAATGGCAGGGGAATGAGGGTTGGGGTAAGGGGGAATGGCAGGGGAATGTGGGTAGGGGTAAGGGGGAATGGCAGGGGAATGGGAGGGGAGGGAGGTTAACCAAGAAAGATGATAGTTGCCAGCGGATGGTGACAGTTGAGAGGTGTGTCGTGAGAGACGTGCAAGGCTTACCATATCGGATGCGAATGACGGTGTTGTTGCCCTGCTGCACGAACGGGGGAGAGGCACGAGGGAGGGATGTGGGGAGTGCAGGGAGGGGGGAGAGGCACGAGGGAGGGATGTGGGGAGTGCAGGGAGGGGGGGTATGGGGGCTCGCGGGATAGGGTGGGGAGGGATGGAGGGGTGGGAGGAAATGAAACCGCCATAAGGGTTTTCTTGAGAATTCTCTAAAAAGCCATAAGGAGGCACAGGCCCAGGGAGGGGCAGAGGGGAGCTACACGAGCCACACTGTAACGTGAGGCACAGCAATGTGACTTTACCAAGCAGTGGTGGGTATGAGTGCGTGAGACTATACCGAGCAGTGGTGGGTGTGATTGCGCGTGACTTTACCGAGTGGTGGGTGTGAGTGTGTGTGACTATACCCAGCAGTAGTGGGTGGGTGTGAGTGTGTGTGACTATACCCAGCAGTAGTGGGTGGGTGTGGATGTGAGAGTGTGGCTATACTATACCGAGCAGTAGCGTGCGTTGCAGCGGAAGGCGGGGCAGGGGCGGTTGAAGAGGATGGTGTCGTGAGAGCCGTTGCTCTGCTGGGTGATCCTCGTGTAGGTCATGGTGGGAATCATGGGCGCCACGGCCACTGCACACATGTGGGGGAGGAAGGGGGGGAGCGGGGGGAGAAGGGTTGAGGTCATGCTGGGCATGACAGGCACCGCTGCCAGTGGGTGTCGTGAGAGCCGTTGCTCTGCTGGGTGATCCTCGTGTAGGTCATGCTGGGTCTCGTGGGCGCTGCTGCCACTGCACGCATGGGGGGAAAAGGCGCCGAGCGCATTGGCGCGAGGCGCAGGGCATTGCGCCAGGCGCATCGGCGCCGAGCGCATTGGCGCCAGGCGCAACGGCGCCAGGCGCATCGGCGCCAGGCGCATCGGCGCCAGTCGCATCGGCGCCAAGGGCATTTTCGCCAGGCGCATTGGCGCCAGGGACGACCGTTAGCGCCACGGACCCTGGAAGCATGTGCGCTGGACCTGCGGCGCAAATGGCTGCAAATGAATGCATGCATGCAACTCACAAGTTTTGCGGAGTCTATGGTATAGAAACGTTGAGCATGTGGAGGATTGCGGCCCCAATGTCGATCTTCGTCTGCACCGCTGCCGTGCTTAGATTCCTATCCATCGCAACATTGGAAACAACTACATATAGGTGCTACTAATCGGCTTTGGTAGATGTCGCAAATGGAAACCCTAATTTAGGATCTCACTGAGTTCGCTAAGGGATTGACAATCGTGAGTGAGTGGGAAGGGTGAGGCAGGTGGGGATGAAGGCCTGGGATGGACTGGGGAGCGTTTACATTCGCATTCAGATTGGGGAGGGCTCCACAACAGTTCCAGCACAGTGTGATTGCCAGCAAGGCGAATCTACAGCAGTGCCAGCCCTTAATCTCGAGCCCACCAGAAGAGGCAGTGTGCGGGCAGAAAAGGGTAAGTAACTTTGGAAGGGCTTACACTAGCGACCCTGTGCTCCGAGGGGGCCTACAGTGCAAGTAGAGGGCACTTTCCACCCCTCCGTGCCTCAGACAGGGAAGTTATAGAAACAGGACAGGGCAAATCCCCACATTCACCCACGTGTCAACAATTTCTATGCCACCTACTGTACTGGACATCTGACCACCTGTGCACAACAGATTTTTGTCCCCACTGCAGAATCGAATCCACAAACTGGGTGGCTCGGCTGCCACACTGTTCCGAAATCCGCTAGGCTACTGTTTCGCGCCCAGATTTTCGGAACGGCCATCAAGGCAGACGGAAACGAAAACGGAGTAGCTCTCCGTCAAATCTTTCGAGTGACTTCGTCTCAAGTTACGTGGGCTCCTTCAGAAATTAGGGTTTGCGACAAGTCACAATGCTAAACTCTGTCTTAACTTAACGCGTAGCTTCCCGCTAGCAATCTTAAATTAGCATAGGCGCCATGCGTTGTTCCCGAATCTGTGGCTGCACCATATCGAGCAGTAGGAGCATCACATTCTCTCGGATAATGTTACATTGGCTAGCGATCCAGGATATGCGTTCTTGTTCGTTTGATATGTGCACCCTTCATATATCTTCTCTGATCCTTGCGGTCGATGGTAAGTTTGCGAGTGGCATAAACTGATTGTGCCCTATGACTTTCCTTCCGCACGATTAATCGCCAATGTTACAGACTCCATGCATTGGTCTGTACATAATGCTAAGCATTAGTCACCACACGCGGGTCTTTCATCCACATTTTTGGAGTGCTGATTTTGAATATAATCCACCATTTTCATGTCGATCCTTCACGTGTTTCAATTTTGTTTTCTCCAGACTTTCGTGACTCGCAAACTATTGTGTAGACAGGGACCATGTGTGCACAATGTTCAGGAGTTCTCTTTCAAGGTGATCACACTGATTCACACATGCGATGGATAGGATATGTCTACACGTTCCCGTATTGCTGCACGTCCCTTGTTTCGGTTGCAACAAACTACTCACATATGATTCCATTACCTTTGCGGTCATGTGTTTTTTAAACAGGGCATTTCTTGGACAACAGACGGAGGAGATCAACATTTACCAAGGGAAAATTTATTCATCCGTAAGCGCTGCCAGAGATGAGATAGAGAAATATGGCGATAAGTTCAATTTCAAGCCCTGGTATAGGGACAACAGGCCAGAACGCCTTGACGTGTGTTGCCCTTCCATGAAAGGAAAAGACTGGCCCAAGAATGAGGCCAAAGCACCAGAGGGGTTTTGTCCCTTTCGGATTGTAGCTACCGGGCCTCGAAATCGCAGCTTTAGTGTGAGATCAGTGACGCTGCAGCATGCACACACGTGTGTGCCACGCCCTGGTCGGATTAGGAGGGAACAGGTTAATCAAGTGGTGCGTGAAGTACGTGCTCATACAGTCATTAGACCTGTTGGACTACGAGAGATGGTGCGGGAAAAGTTAGGCGTTGACTGCTGCAATGCTACGTGTGGCCGATCAATAGATGATGTCACTCGAGAGGATCCTCTAGGTGGAGAGTCGGGTTTCCAGTACATTGGTAGCATCCTTGATGTTTTCAAGAGACATAACCCATCGAGCGTTGTGTCATTGTTGCTGAACGAGAATAGGTTCCATCGTGCTGCAGTGATTTACCCAGGAGTCCGTGAGGTAGTAAAAAATTGCTTTCCGATCGTATTTGTAGATGGATGTCACAACAAAGGTGTATGGCGAGGCCATACTCTGAATGCATGCATGATTGACTGCGAACATAAGCTGGTGAGGTTAGGGAGTGCATGGGTAGAAGGTGAGAGTGCGGATTCGTGTGAGTATTTTTTGAGCCAGCTGAAGGTAGCTGCCCCTGAGATCAACACTCCAAGGTTTACACTGATGCATGATCGCGGGAAAGCATGGAAAGCGGCTGCTGCCAGAGTGCTGCCAGGGGCGCGTGAGGCATTTTGCATCACACACTTGGTGAGGAATTTTAACTCAAAGTTTGGTTCAGACTGTGATGGCAAGATCGAGCTCGCGGCTGCAGCATTGACCAGAGATGTGCTGCGGGGCTACATGGACAAAATCGAGGAAGAGTGCCCTGGGGGGAAAGAATACTTGGAGAGGGATGGATTAGCCGCACATTGGGCTACCTTTCTGTTTGGTGCGTCACGTTTTGGGTGCTATACCTCAAACCCAGTGGAGTCGCATCATGCCTCTATGCACAAGTGGAGGAGGGACAATCCAGCACAAGTTTTGCTTGCATTCATAACACAGCAAGCGAATGCAATGGAAGAGGGTCGTAAGCTGTATGGGAATCTCGGGGTAGCTGATCTCCCCCCCATAACAGCAGGCATCCTTCGTGCTAATTGTCAAATGGGCACTCAGTACAAAGTGGAGAAGACTGGCAGAAGTTCATACCATGTGAGCCGTGACACTGGAGCCAAGGAGGAGCGTGTGGTGGTAGAGGTTGCAAAGCCAGAGGAGGCGCAGTGCACGTGTAATTACCAGAGGTGAGTTATGTGTTTGAGCTAAACCTTGAAACACAATAGGGAAACATTCTGCAGCTGGTGTTAGGGTTGTCGGAACATGCATACATTTTATTCTCCCTCAGGCAATCTCTTGATGTTCGTCATTTGATGGATCCTAACGTTCGTTTGACACCCATTTGATTTTCCCGTACACATGCAGAGAGTATGGGCTGCCATGCATGCACATGTATGCGGTACTGCTCCACATCATCAAGCCGGCACGTGGCAACGAGTATGGGGCGGGGAGGGCAGGAGCAGAGAGTGGGGCGGGGAGGGCAGGAGCAGAGAGTGGGGCGGGGAGGGCAGGAGCAGAGAGTGGGGCATGGAGGGCAGGAGCAGAGAGTGGGGCATGGAGGGCAGGAGCAGAGAGTGGGGCATGGAGGGCAGGAGCAGCCGAGATCGGGACAGGGAGGGGAGCAGCCGAGATCGGGACAGGGAGGGGAGCAGCCGAGATCGGGACAGGGGGAGGAGCAGCCGGGAGCGGGGCAGGGAGGGGAGGAGCAGCAGGGAGCGGGGCAGGGAGGGGAGGAGTACCAGGGAGCGGGGGGGGAAGGGGAGGAGTAGCAGGGAGCGGGGGGGGAAGGGGAGGAGTAGCAGGGAGCGGGGCAGGGAGGGGAGGAGTACCAGGGAGCGGGGGGGGAAGGGAAGGAGTAGCAGGGAGCGGGGGGGGAAGGGGAGGAGTAGCAGGGAGCGGGGCAAGGAGGGGAGGAGTAGCAGGGAGCGGGGCAGGGAGGGAAGGAGCAGCAGGGAGCGGGGCAGGGAGGGGAGGAGTACCAGGGAGCGGGGGGGAGAGGGAAGTAGCAGTGAGCGGGGCGAGGAGGGCAGGAGCAACAGGGAGCAGGGCGGGGAGGGGAGGAGCATCAGGGAGTGGGGCAGGGAGGGGAGTCGAGAGTGCGGCAGGGAGGGGAGCTGCAGGGAGCGGGTCGGGGAGGGAAGGTGCTGTAGGGAGCGGTGGAGTGGCGGGTGAGATGGAAATTGACCACAACGATCCCACCCCTGGTGATGCCTCGCATAACAATGGTGACAATGTGGTTCGTTTTAGACTGAGGCGGCTGCAACACGTTCGTCAGCAAAGACAAGTGGCGCCAGAACCAAGAAATATGGATCAGAGGCCAGCGGATGTGGTGGCGGAAGGGATGGGGGCGGACTCAGAGGCAACGGGCCATACAAACCAGTCCCCAGTACCTGGTACGCAAGAATCAATCGTTGTGGATAACCCAGCGGACCACAACGGGGAAACGCTAGATGAACAACAGCATGTGAAGTTGGGGCAAAAGCGACGTCGCCAGTTGAGAAGGTTGCAGATGCAGCAACGACATCAGAGACGGAACCAGCAGCGACAACAGGAACAGCATCAGGAGCGGCAGGGACAGCAGGAGCCGCAGGGACAGCAGGAGCAGCAGGGAGGGCAGCAGCGACAGGGACAGCAGCAGCGGCAGGGACAGCAGCAGCGGCAGGGACAGCAGGAACGGCAGGGACAGCAGGAGCAGCAGGGAGGGCAGCAGCGACAGGGACGGCAGCAGCGACAGGGAGGGCAGCAGCGACAGGGACAGCAGCAGCGGAAGGGACAGCAGGAGCGGCAGGGACAGCAGGAGCGGCAGGGACAGCAGGAGCGGCAGGGACAGTAGGAGCGGCAGGGACAGCAGGAGCGGCAGGGACAGCAGGAGCAGCAGGGACAGCAGGAGCGGCAGGGACAGCAGGAGCGGCAGGGACAGCAGGAGCGGCAGGGACAGCAGGAGCAGCAGGGAGGGCAGCAGCGGCAGGGACAGCACCAGCGGCAGGGACAGCAGGAGTGGCAGGGACATCAGCAGCAGCAGCAGGGGCAGCAGATGCTGCTGCTCCTGCAGCAGCCGCTGCAGAATGCGCAGGGTGAAGGGCAGCAGCAGCAGGGAGAGCAGCATGATATGCGTGGCCAGCAACAACAGCAGCATGGTGTTGGGCTACATCTGGAGCAACTGCTCCAAGTATTGCGACAACATACCCAAAACCAAAACCACCAACAGTGGCCTCAATCACAGCACCAGCAGCAAGAGCGACACGAGCATCTGTAAGACAGTCAAAAACAACATAAACGAGGGGAGCAGCAATGACAGGACCAGCAGAAGACAGTGCAGCAAACGCATCAGCAGCGGCAGCAGCAAGAGACACGGTTGTGGCTGCAATCCTCTTTGTCAACCATCTCACACTCCCTGCAACCATCCCTTGCTCTCGCTTCATGCGTCGGGTACCTGCTCCTGTTACCCGCTCCCACTCCCTGTTGTGATCCTGCACTAAAAGAGTGTCGTGTTTTTGTTGTTCCTAATACCAGGCAGGGGAAACATTTGGGTAATTATTACCTTGAATATACCGTATGTAGTGGTATTTGTTCATGGATGTTCATAACTCAAATGTGCAACAATGGAAAGCACAATATTCGGAAAATGAAGCATTGTTGTGTCACATAAATATAACACACACCACCACCTAGTTGCAAACACACCTAGTAGCAAGCTGGGTGTGTGTGTGTGTGCATGTGTGTATATGTGTGTATGTGTGTGCGTGTGTATGTGTGTGTATGTGTGTGTGTGTGTGTGTATGTGTATGTGTGTGTGTATGTGTGTGTGTGTTTGTGTGAGTGTGTGTGTGTGTGTGTGTGTGTATGTGGGTGTGTATGTGTGTGTGTGTGTGTGTAAGTGTGTGTGTGTGTGTGTGTGTGTGTGTTTCAGCGCAAATCACATCGCTTCCTCCACAAACTGTAGTATGCATATCAAGTTGGTTGACATTTGAAATTACGATTTCGAAGTCTGAATTGTACTGCCATATGCTTCATTCGTGCATTAAGAAGATTGAGTACCCTAAACTAATTGCGAGACCCTAAACTCATATTTCAATATTCATATTTCTGAATATGAAACATAAATTTATCAGCTGTGATATGTGTTGTTGTATCGCCCATGTACAAAATCGCGACTCTGTTATGTGTGACAGAAACCCCTGACGGAAAAAGTCACTCGAAAGATTTGACGGAGAGCTACTCCGTTTTCGTTTCCGTCTGCCTTGATGGCCGTTCCGAAAATCTGGGCGCGAAACAGTAGCCTAGCGGATTTCGGAACAGTGTGGCAGCCGAGCCACCCAGTTTGTGGATTCGATTTTGCAGTGGGGACAAAAATCTGTTGTGCACAGGTGGTCAGATGTCCAGTACAGTAGGTGGCATGGAAATTGTTGACACGTGGGTGAATGTGGGGATTTGCCCTGTCCTGTTTCTATAACTTCCCTGTCTGAGGCACGGAGGGGTGGAAAGTGCCCTCTACTTGCACTGTAGGCCCCCTCGGAGCGCAGGGTCGCTAGTGTAAGCCCTTCCAAAGTTACTTACCCGGCAGAAAAGGCCAGAAACGGTTTTTTCAGAGTGGAAGTGCGTCAGATAGTATAGCAAGAGGACACGTGGCGCAAACTTCGCCCCGCAGGACCAGTTTTGAACATACTTTGGGCCTTGCGTGAGCGAAATTCCAGAAAGTAGTACTTTTTGAGTAAACCTGGGGTTAAATATGCGAAAAACTGAAACTAAGGATCTGGGATATAGTTTCCCTTTATTCTTACGAGACCAGTGATCGGTCACGTCTCGACTTCGTATGTCGACTGCAGATTGCTGCAGCCACGTCAGGCTAGATGCTATAACTAGAAACCCTGAGATTTGTTGCTAAAACACATCACTCTAAACAATAGTGTAAATCCACTCTCTTTCAGGTTACAAGCAGCGCTTGTTTCCGCGCTTCTCTCTTCTCTCTCCGTCGCGTACCTCACCATGCCGTACGTGCCTCCTCATAGGCGATCCGGCGCGGCAAGTTCCACTAAGGGTTCTGCTTCTACCGAATCTTCTTCTATGCCGCCGTCTGTGCTAGGTCGAGGACATGTAGGCTCGACAATTGGCTCGGGAAACAGGTTCGGGGGACGAGGCAGAGGCAAAGGCGGCGGCCAGACAAGTAATGGGGGACGAGGCAGAAGTTTTTTGTACCGAACAAAACCGTTGGATTCTTCCAAAGTCGTCACCCACATCCTGGTCGACGATTTCGAGCAGCGCAAGTCCTCTATAACGGGGCTTGCTTATAACGAGGATTGTGCTTTAACGGGGGGAGCGATCGCTGTAACCGAGTGGGGTACATATTTCACCAATTTATGGGGGTAGGCAACCACGGGGAACGAAATCTTGCTACACTAAGAATAGCCTCAGAAACAGAAGCAGGTCATGACAAAAACTTGTCGCTATCCGCTGCTGATTCCTCCTCATCACGCTCTCTCTCCGGCGACTCGCGCTCTCCCTCTCCATATTCCTCACTCTCACCCTTTCCCTCCTTATCCGGCTCCATAATGGGTCTACTCCGTGTAGCTTTAGAGGCCGCTCATAGGGATATGCGCGTCGACAGGGAGCCTCTGATTGGCCAACCCCGAGTTGTGGATCGATGCAAGCTGACGGTGAAACTGGGGAGGATTCAGATTAAACCACCTCGGGAATCCCCAGGGTAGGTGGGTGGGGGGTGCGAAGAGAGTGCGTCTGAGATAAGCCTGGGGGTTGTGGATCGGTGCAAGCTGACGGTTCAACTGGGAAGACATCGCCCGAATCCCTCCGCGAAAACCCGTTCGCCCCTGCGGGTTTTCCTCTGAGGGATTTTCGTTTTCCCGCAGTCGCCTAGCGGGGCACGCGAGGGGCGGGAGCCACCCCCCCCTCCCGCCCGAAAACGGGCAACCCCAGCTGGCGATGACGCCAGCAGCCCGCGCCCTCGAGCTGGCACTGGTCTCCCTCCCAACCCCTCGCTCGGTTCGTGGACGGGTTCCGTCCGGTAACCCACCCATCCCTCGCCGAGCGACGCATCGCCGACGGAACCAGTCCGCGAAATTTCGCCGGCCAGACGAAAGCGACGCCCATCTGCGCCGCGCTCCACCGCTCTCGCCCTAGACGGGCCCGTTTCGTTCTCGATCTTGGCGACGTGTCGAAGGCCCCCTCCCAAACCTTGGAAGGGGCCTTTCAGCTGCATGCAAGGCTGCCCACCCCATGCTACCAATAACCAGGTTTCACGTCGAGGCCGATAGGGCCCCGCCGGCCTCCGCGAAGAGCTCCTCCCTCCTCCTCCCGCGTCTCGGAACGCGCCCTACCACCTCGCCCTTGAACCCCCTGGTCCGTCGCGGTGGGAGGGATGGCAAACAGCTAATACCCTGCGTCCGGTCTCATTTTGTTGCTGTTTCCGATTTTTGCTTCCCTACTTCCTAGTCCCTGCTAGTTCCCAACTCCCCTGCGCGCCCGCCCTCTCCACTGCTAGGCTCGACATGGCTACGGGCCCCGCCTCCGTGTCAGATCATTATAGCTTATGCTTTTGTGTAGGCTATAGTGGGGTATCCCATAGGGGGTACAACCCAATTAGGGTTAGTACTTGTACCCACTTCAATCATAGTCCAACAAAATTTTCTCGTTCTCATTCTCACATGGAATCAAAGCAGGTCCCCTCCTAGGGACTGTTTCTTGGGCCCACCGAAGCGCGCCCCGAGGCGCGCGTTCTTTTTTTAGCGACCCGTAGTGTCGCCCTCCCCCCCCTCCCAGCGGCCAGTCGCGTCGCCTTTCGGTCGCGACCCCGCCGCCCTACTCTAGCGGCCCCGCCGCCCTACGTCGCGGCCCCGCCGCCCTACCCTTCGACGGCGCCGCCGCCCTAAGTCGCGGCCCCGCCGCCCTACTTCGACGGCCCCGCCGCCCTACGTCGCGGCCCTGTCGCCCTACCCTACGTCGCTGCCCCGTCGCCCTACCCTTCGACGGCGGCGCCGCCCTACGTCGCGGCCCCGCCGCCCTACTTCGACGGCCCCGCCGCCCTACTTCGGCAGCCCCGCCGCCCTACGTCGCGGCCCTGCCGCCCTACCCTACGTCGCGGCCCCGCCGCCCTACCCTTCGACGGCGGCGCCGCCCTACGTCGCGGCCCCGCCGCCCTACTTCGACGGCCCCGCCGCCCTACGTCGCGGCCTCGCCGCCCTACTTCGACGACCCCGCCGCCCTACCCTACGTCGCGGCCCCGCCGCCCTACCCTTCG